GATTAAAATAAAAAAGCAACAAATTCCATATTTTGATACTAAAATAGAGTTAAGAGAGAGACGTTCGTTTTACCTTGGTGGTTCATCGTGACTGTCCGGAGCTTATTTCAACAATCAATAAGAGCATTCAAACCAAAAACACAACAACAAGGAGAGTAAGCTAAGAGCTTTTTCGAAAGCAGAAAAAAAATCGAAAAGATAAATCAAAACCTAAACAAAACTTACCCTTTTCCTCGGAGGAGACCTTCGTTTTGCTTCGCCATAGCTAAGGGGATTTTTCCGCATCCATTGAAGGTAAGACCTCGATTCTTATATGTAAGGTTATGGTCTATTTTGAATTTTTATTTGAGGCACTATTTTTTATGGTTTCGAGGCTTTAGTTTGAGCATGGTTTCGTTTGATTCTCGAAAGGTCTAGGTCTCAGGTTTAGGGTTAGATAAAAAAAGAGCGTGGCCACCACGATACGGTGGCCGGTCCGGTGTTTTGGTTTTGGCCATGGAGGATTTTGGTCTCTGGTTCAGGTACCATCAAAGAAGAAGATAAGGGGAGAATAATGAAAAACGGCGTCGGGAGAGAGAATAAGTTTAGGATGAATGATATTTTGTTTTTAGGTCAAATGATAGGTTTTAATTAATTTGGATAAAACGACAGTGTTTAGGACTAGAGTAGGGTGTGGGGTTTAATCACGTAAGAATCCTTTTAATTTGAAGCTGTTGTGATTCGGTCATTGCTTTGAAGTTCTGTAATTTTTAATTTGGTTCTTAATTTTAGGCGCATTCCATTTTGGTCCCCAGTGCCTGTTATTTATGTTGTTTCAAGTATTTGATCTTTAAGTTTCGTATTTTCTATTTTAGTCCTAAATAATAGTATATTTAATTTTTGATGTTTTTAGACATTCGACTTTTAAATTGTTGCATGTTTCTTTTTAGTCCAACTTATGTGTTTAGAGTTTATTTCAATATTAATCCTTTATGATGATGATTTGTTTTATTTCAGTCACATTGTTTATTATAGTATAACATTAGTATTTTACCATAATATGCGTTGGATCCACGCTTAATCTTTTATAATGAAAAATAATAATATTATTTTATAAAATTAAAATAAATGAATGATAAAGGGGTTTTTAAGTGAATTGAGATGGCATCAGAATAGCTGGGTTTACTTTTGGCAAAGCATCTGATAGTTGGCATTTCACAATAAAAATATAGCTTTCCGTTTCCTGGGCGTGATCTGTGACGTTCTCACGTGCCCACTTCAACCCTTATTAATAAAAAAAATAAGTTGTGATTAAATGTATTTATAAGGTATAATTTTTGTTTTATTAGTAAATAAAATAATAATTTTTATTATTTAATTTTTGTTCTGGTCACTCAACTATTATTTTTTCATTTTCACACCTAATGTTATAATTTGATTATGTTTTGATCACCCATATTTAAAAAGCTAACGACGGCGTTGACATGTCACCATAAAGTAATGTCAAGTCAGCATTGAAAAATAATAATAATAAATAATTATCATTAGTTTTTTATGATGGATAACCAAAACGTAATGTTAGATATGATTGTGAAAAAAATAATAGTTCAGTGACGAAACAAAAACAAAGTAGTAGATGAATGGCCAAATAAGTAGTTTACCTTAACAATTACTAACAATATATAAAATAATAATTTTAAAAGCATACATTAAAAATTACTTATCCAAAAAATCACGCCGTTAAAATTACCATTTATTTCTTTTTATAAAAGAATAAAATAGATGGAATATTACTCCATAGGAGGATAAATGAAAATTCAAGTGAAGATAAATAATCCATCTTAATTGATCGACCAAGTTCGTCGATCAACTTGATACGTTTGAATTAATTGAAAATTCGTTTAGTCAACTTTATGCGTTTATATTTTGTATAAAGTTTGATCTTTACTTTTTTTTTTACAAAAGTCGAAATCATAATTTTATATTATTTTATATTCGAATTTAATGACTAACTTTTTCAAACATTATTATTCTTAAAGTTTAAATTTAAATCTTTATTTGAATGAATAATACATATTATCATTATAACAACATTATTAAGTAAATCCAAAGATAAGGTACGATTTTATGTTATGGGAATGAACTTTTAAAATTTTAAAGAAAGGACGAATTTATAAGATTATAAGAATAAAACAAATTTTTATTAAAAAAATATATATAAAATTTAAAATATATAATAATTTTAAACTTTAAGAGGACAATTATCCTCGTCCACTCTCTCAATCGGTCCCTAAGTAAATCATGATTTCTTTCAACAGTAGCTAAAGCCTAAAGTAAAAACATAGCTTTAAACGTTTCATTAAAAGGACAGATAAAGTAACTTGTAGTTCTTAAATTTAATTATTTTTTCAGTTTGGTTTTTATTATTTGTAGAAATGATCATCCAGCTCAGTTGGTAGAGCACAAGGTTCTTAACCTTGAGGTCGTGGGATCGAGTCCCACGGAGGGCATTTCATAATTCGAAGATCTCTTACGGAAGCTGTTCTCAACCTGATGTTGGGGTAGCCTACTATATTACCTCCCTTTACCCCATACATATGGGAAAAAGGGACAGTTATTTTTTTTATTTGACCTTTTTATTATATTTAATTAATTTTATGATTTGTTGCATAATTTTATAATGAAGAATACTTAAAAATGAACAGAAATTTAATCAAATACTAAACCAAAAAAAAAGAAAGAATTAAACTGAAAATTTGAGGAAGTCAAAAAGCTACTTATTTTATTTATAACAATATACTCTATAATTTAAGGGTAAAGTTCACAAATGGTGCCCGATTGTAAAGTGATATTTTGTTGAGTCTCTCGACTATTAAAAGTTACAAAATAATCCCCTGACTATAGATTGTTGCTTTATTGAGTTCCCATACTATTAAAAATTATGAAATAGTCATCCGACTATTTAATGCGTTCTAAACTCATCTCTTTTCGTTAAAAATTTGACGGCAATCTAAGTTGGATGTTAACCTACTGACTGAGATATGATAAAATATTATCACAAAATCTTAAAAAACTATCATATTTCAATCAACATGTTAATATACATGTTAGAATGTTATCAATTTTTTAACTGTAAAAAAAGAATTTGGAACATACTAAATAGTCGAGTAACCATTTTGTAACTTTTAATAATCGAAGACACAACAAAATAATATCATATAGTCAGAGGATTATTTATGTACTTTACCCATATATATCATGAATAAGAAGAGCCCATAAAGAGTTACAATTAATTAAAGCAACCTAATAAAGGCATGTAGTAAGAAAAAACCACCGCAGGAAACTGTCGTAAGTAAAACAAAGGCTTAAATGCACCATTAGCTTTTAAACTATATACTTTTGTACTAAATAACTTTTTAAAATACATTTTGAAATCTTTTATTTTATGAAGCTTAAATCATTATCTTATTTACTCTAAATTGTTAATTCTATCAAAAGAATCAAAAGTAAATTACATATTTAATCATTTAATTATTTTAATTTTAATTATTCAATTTTTTTTTCAAATCATCATTAAATATAATTTTTATTTAGTTCTGATCATCAACTATTATTTATATAAAAACAAGTTTTTATTTCATTTCTATTGATATTATATTATCTTCAAAAAATTGTTCCATTAAAAACATAACAAGATCGTTGTTTTAGGATATTAAATTCAAATTATCAACACAATAAATATATAGTGTTTAAAATTTAATTCACATAATTTAAATATTCCTAAGAATGTCATTTAAAAACCAAACTCATAATGCTTTATCTGATTAAAATGATATTTATAATTTAAATATTAAATTATAATGTTTTAAAATTTAAAAATAAATTAAAACTATGAGTTGTAATTTGGAAAAAAACAATTAATTCAAACTTAAATACTGACAACAATGTTAAATAAATATAATATAAAAATTTAAACAATTAGAATATAATAAAAAATAATAAAAAAGTACAGTATAAAATTAATTTTTTTTATCATTTTTCATTTTTATCCTCCTTATCAAACAAAATAAAACAGGAGATAGCGACTGAAACCTAAATAATGTTATTGTCAAGGGTAAATCACATATTTCATCACAAAACTTTACTCTCTCTCTTATATTTCTCACTGAATTTTAAACTTTTCAATTCTCACTAAACTTAATATATCGGGGTTTTTGATCATTCTGTTTTTAAGTAGTTAAAGACATTAAAATGATGCCATTTTAAAAAACTAAAATTTTTATCAAAATGACGTCGTTTTGCATCTATATAACAATCCACTTATAAAATTGTTAGTGAGAAAACGGATGAATTACAAAAAAATTCACTGTATTAAGTTCAGTGAAGAAATTGAAAAGATTTAAAGTAAAGTGAGTAAAATAAGAGAGAGAATAAAATTTAGTTACCAAATTTGTAGTTTACCCTATTGTTAAAGAAGGAAAGGTGAAGGGTTAGGCCTCCGGTTTGGCATTGAGACTCCGGTTTTGGCTTTTGTATAGCTGGTATCACTCTAAAAGCTTCTCCCTCACGTGATTTTCGAGTGCGGTTGTTGGTTGGTTGGTTTATCCTCTTTACTTTTTTACCCACCTATTTCATCGACTGTTGTTTTGAGAAACTTTTAGAAAAGCCTTTTTCCCTATTCTGACCTTCCTTTATTTTTCTTCAATTAAATAATAAATATTTATTTTTTGGATAATTGATTAAATAATAAATTATAGCGTGGGTGAGTTTGTTTCAAATTTCACCTCTACGAAGAGATAAACATATACGTAAATAAATTATAAAAAGAAAAGCCAAGAAGCATGAAGAAGGGGTAGGTGGCGGTCAATATAAAAATCAGTTAGGGTAAAAGAGTAAAATAGCGAAACCAAAAACCGGTGACGGCACAGGACACCGTTTATTTACTTGGGGAATACACAAGAAAAACAAAGGGAGATCTGGAAGCCTTCACCTGGGGCCCTGCCTGCCTGTCCCAACTCACTCCTATAAAACCCTAACCCTTCCTTTTCTCTTTTGCTCTGTCTACTATCTTTCCTTCCATCCAAACAATCTCTTTCCCTTGCCATTCATTCAATCATGTCTTGCTTTATTAGCAAATACGCCGGTAATTCTCCCTCTCTTTTCTATCCATTTTAGTTTTTTTTCTTTTATGATCTGTAACAAGTTTTATGATTTAATCAACTGTCTTTTTTCCCGTATAATTGAGTAATGGATCTGGTTGAGTTTGGTGGATTTTAGACTGCGCTACTTTTTGATGTTTAGATTTCTTCGGATCTTAATAGATCCGATATTTTCTTTCTCGCGGTCAGATCTTCAGTTGGTATTTGGCTAAATATACTTGTTCTTTTGTCTTTAAGAAAGCAACAAAATACATTTTTCCAGTTTATTTAATAAAGGTTAACCAAAACCAATTCAACTTGATTTGTTTCGCTTTGCTTTATTTTTCATGATATCCGAAAATCTAGATCTGCTCATCCTCTTGCATGTGCTCTGTTGTTGTTTTCTGAATCCGTTTTACCTTGCAGTATTTTAGAATATCTATTCCCATGTTTTAATTTAGTTACCAGTTTTTGATGTGCTTTTGAGTTATCATTGTATCAATCCAGTTTTAGTTAAAAATGATTGATTAAAGTTGGTAAAGTTGTCTAACTGCTTGGAAATTTTATCTTAGATCTGAGATTACTGAACTCATCGGTTTATCGTAGGCTAATTTTTTTTATCTGTATTTGGATCTCTGTTTCTTAGCCTTTACTGGTGATTTGGTGGCTTATTGTATTTTTATCATGAAAAATCTTGCAGATGAGCTAGTTAAAAACGCTGCCTACATTGGCACCCCTGGAAAGGGTATCCTTGCTGCTGATGAATCCACTGGCACCATCGGCAAACGTCTTTCAAGCATTAATGTGGAGAACGTTGAAGAAAACAGACGTGCTCTCCGTGAGCTCCTCTTCACTACTCCCGGTGCTCTCCAGTACCTCAGTGGTGTTATTCTCTTTGAGGAAACCCTCTACCAAAAAACTGCTGCTGGTACTATGACGAAACACCTGCACTTGATACTTTCTTTAAAAGAATGAATGGGTTGTTGATTTCTGATATTGATGTTTGGTTTTCAGGCAAGCCCTTTGTTGATCTCTTGAATGAAGGTGGTGTCCTCCCTGGCATCAAGGTCGACAAGGGTACTGTTGAACTTAATGGAACCAATGGTGAGACTTTCACCCAGGGTCTTGATGGCCTTGCCCAGCGATGCACGAAGTATTATGAAGCCGGTGCTCGCTTTGCCAAATGGCGTGCTGTTCTTAAGATTGGTGCTAATGAGCCAACTGAACTCGCTATCCAAGAGAATGCCAATGGACTAGCCATGTATGCTGCCATTTGCCAACAGTGTGGCCTTGTCCCTATTGTTGAACCCGAAATCCTTGTGGATGGATCACACGACATTAAAAAGTGTGCTGAGGTGACCGAGCGTGTCCTTGCTGCTTGCTACAAGGCTCTGAATGACCATCATGTCATGCTTGAGGGCACCCTGTTGAAGCCTAACATGGTGACCCCTGGTTCCGAGTCCCCAAAGGTTGCACCAGAAGTTATTGCAGAGTACACTGTCCGTGCCTTGCAACGAACTGTACCGGCTGCAGTCCCAGCTATCGTGTTCTTGTCTGGTGGTCAAAGTGAGGAGGAGGCTACCCTCAACCTTAATGCCATGAACAAGCTTCAAACCAAGAAGCCGTGGTCACTTTCATTCTCATTCGGACGTGCCCTTCAGCAGAGCACTCTTAAGGCCTGGGCTGGAAAGGAAGAGAATCTGAAGAAGGCTCAAGATGCTTTCCTCGTTCGGTGCAAGGCTAACTCCGAGGCCACTCTTGGTACCTATAAGGGTGATGCAAAGCTCGGGGAGGGTGCTGCAGAGAGCCTCCATGTCTCGAACTACAAATACTAAGCCTTCAGGCCCTATGATCTAATGTGTCATATTTTGCGGTGAAAAAATGCGGTTTATACGAGTCTTTTAGGTCTTTTCTTGTGGGGGTGGGGGTGAAATTGCCCAAAATAAACCTTTGGGGGATCATTTGTGATCCTTGGGTGTTTTGATGTTTTTTTGTAATTTTATGTTCAAAACAGTATTTTCTGTTCTCATATAATCAGTTTTAAAACCGCGATTTGGCACGAAAATGGGTTTGAAAGAAACTAGATTCGGTGATTCCTCTCATGTTAATTTCATATTGCCCGGCACCCTTAAGAGTTTTTACAGTAGCTACGGAAGAATATATCAACACTTTCCTAACTGGTAAGAAATTTGGCTGATGAAATTTTCTTCTGCATTGAATAGAATTGAATGCAAGACATAAGTTGTTGTGAAAGGCAATTGGGAGTTTGTCAGGGAGCTTGCATTTAATTCCTTTTCTGAATTTTCCATTTTCGCTTTACAAACTTACATGTGAGGTTGTGACATTTACTCCCACATGCAATACCCTTTTTGCTGGAAAGGAAGAGAATCTGAAGAAGGCTCAAGAATATATCACTTACATTTTTGCTGTTATTTTATATTTATTTGTGGGTTGTTGGAATAAATATTTTTATGACTTTGTGTTTGGATATTTTAAATCCTACTATGAACTAATTTATTTGGTGGTGGTTGATTTAATGGTTGTTTGAACTTTATTTTTAATGGTATATTTAAGTTTATTTTGGTTCTTTATTTGCTTTGCTTATGAATGTTTCACCATCTAGGCTTGTAAGAGGCATGGAAATGTCTATTTCTTAGATGAAGGTTAGGTATTCGGAAGAATCCTAAGCTAAAAATACTTGTAAGTATTCGAAAGAAACGCAAGATAAGATCCTCATAAGCAATGAATTATAGTATTTTCAAGGGGCTTTGAACCGGCCTAGGAATATTATAACTTAATCCCTTAGATCTCGGAAGAGGCTAGGATAGGATTTCAACGACTAAAAAGGGTGTCTTTATCAATAGGGTAGGCTGGCCAACATCGTTGAGTGAGAGCAGATGCCTTGGCATCCTATTATGTTAGGTTCTTTAGAACACTTTAGGAAAGCCCTGTCGAGTAAGTAAAGACCAGTTAGCTTATATATACTTGAGAAATAAGTTTAGCATCCGTAGATCAATCCTTACCATTCATTCTCTTGGAAGCTTGTCACGTGAGGATTATTTTCTTTTCATTTTATCTTTATTTATTGTTTTTACCATTTTTCATTGCCTTGAGATTTCACCATACTCAACATCAAACATCCATCATTGCCATTGCATTTCCATTTGCTACCATCAGACCATCACTACATATCCACCAGCATACACATTTACATTGCCGTGGCATTTGTATATATCAAGACTAACTATACTTAGATAGAATAGTGCATTGCTTTGGTTAGACTTTTGTAATTTCACCCAATCCCTGTGGAGACGATACTCACTCATCATTATATTACTTGAGCGATTGTGTATACTTGCACATTATTTGCGTATAATTTATAGTACTCACAACACGCGAACACTCACCCTCTCGTTTTCCTCTTTCCGCTCGATTCTTTCTTGTGGGTCATTTTGAAGAACTAACTCAAGATTGAGCAAGTCTCTTAATTTGTGCGTCGGCTTAAAAAAATGGTTAGGGTATAGAAATGGTTATGGTATAGGGGTAGGATAGAAAAGGATAAGGTAATGAAATGAGAAAAAGATGAAAGAATAAAGAAATGAAATAGTAAGAAAGTGAAGATAACTTACAACTCAAATTGCAACACTTACTATCTTCCTTCACAAGAAACAACAAGGATACCTCATTCAAGTTTGATGTTGGGGCAGATTGTATTGTGCTTCTCTTTGAGCATATTTGCAACTTTGCTTCACTTTTTCTTTGCTTTTGATTCTTCTTTTTCTTTTCTTTCTTTTGTACTCCAAATTTGATATAGGAGTCTTTTTCTTTTCTTTTTTTATTTTTTTTCTTCTTTCTTGTTGCTTTTTGTTATATCACTTTGAATGTCAATCCACCAAAGCTCTGATACCACTTGATGTAAGGCTAACCAGGCTTCTTCAATAATGAAGAAGTTGACAACCTTGTTGTTTCCCGATCTAGGAGAGACACCAAATGCTACACTTGAATCAATAAGTAATATGCACAAAAGTAAAAGAAACAAATGATTAAAAATAGAATATGGAAGAAGAAAACCAATGATAAGAAAGGAAATGGATAGAAAAGTTATCAAAGATGGGCTGCGGAAGTGTTGTTGAAGAATCCTTCAAGAGTTGATGAATTCGGCCTCCAAATGATGTTGCTGGAGGTATGCCTTGTTGATGTTTGAAGGATAATTCAAGATGAAGAAATGGAAATGGAATTTGGTGATGATATAGGCATGATATGGTGATGGACTATGGTGATGATATAGGCGTGATAATGGTGATGGAAGATGGTGATGAACAAATTGTATCTTATAAAACTAAGAAGGAACCAATGCTATAAAAGAGCAAAGACCCGTTTCTTATAAGTCTTATAAGGGATGGTATTAAGGACTTTTACCCGCTAGTTATAAGAACTAGGAACCAGAAGTATCAAGGGATAGGAATGACGCCACAAGCTTTAGAAAGAGTTGCTTAATCGATATAGTTCTAAAAAGAACTTAAAGAGAGAATAATCTCACAAAGGATTTATAATATCAAAGGGTTGTTTTTACAAATGAAATATCCAAGCCTATTTATAGGCTAGCATAGGTTTGGCCGAATAAATAGGTGTCCATTCGGCTAAATACATGACTATTAATTAGAAATACATGATGTTTTAATGAATGAAGATGTCCTTGGCCGAATGATCTACTTGCTCTTCATCTTGGCGCCAATTTTGAATCAAAAGGATGCTTAGGCCGAATAGAGAGAACCCTCTTCATTTTGGCACCCATTTCATCCACACGCATGGCACATGTGTGGGCTGGTCATGAGGCACTCATATGGGTGGCTTGGGGTCTTATGGTGTGTCTCTACTTGGGGCGTGAAGTTGAGCAGCAACTTAGGTGTGACTTTGCATCCAACTTGCTTCTAGATGACATGGCGTCAATGGGGCAACAACTATTTATGAAAGGTCACATTTGTGGAAGGTAACCTTTCATCATTTGAGCTACTTCCCATGTGTTTGAGCTGAAGATGAGCTGGCCATAGATGAAGGACATGTGTATAAGACATAGGACAACTCCTTGTGAAAAGGCACTTCTCGGGGGTCAGCTGATAACTTTTCATCATTTGTTCTTCATGATCTCCCGAGTCATCCTATGGAAGTTTTCCTAGCTCATTGACTCCCATGCTAACTTTAAATCAGCTCCCATCATGTGGCCGAACATGTACCTACAAAAGAAAGCTTTTATAAGCTAAGTAATATAAGATATAAATATATAAATATGTGGTTCATAACAATAACTTCATACATTCATAATATCATTATCATAACTATAAATATAATGTATGTAAGCTATTATCATAACTATGGTATAAAGAAAATTAAGTTAAAGAAAATCCCCCTTTGATTATGGAGAAAGGTTAGAGATGCAAGTCCATTTTTGACGCTGAATTAGATTACATCATCCTCCCTTGATACCCTCTCTGTCATGAACGAAAGAGAAGAACAAGACGAGGAGTTTAGAATCGAAGCGAGAGAATTGGGGAAAATGAAAGAGGGATTAGGAATTGTGAAAAGTGGAATCAGGGAATTAGAGATTTCAAATCCTAATGATAAGGCAGCAGATAATCACTTGGAAATGGATACACGTAGGGAAGAATGAAGCTGAGTGGGACAAGGATCATGGGCTCAGAAGTGGATACAGCCAGCAGCCCACAAGAGAAAATACCTTAGCTGTCATCTGCAAGGGAAACTATTAGAGTGAGTTACTACATTGTCCAACTGCCATCAAAAGAGTGGCTATAGTACATTGTATTGAAAATAAAACCATGTAATTGAGGAGAAAAAAGCTTACATGATGAATGAATGAAAAATTCCTTTTTTGCAATCCCTCTTATTTTCTTCTAAATCCTTTCATTTCTTTGATCTCAACTTCTATATTTCTCACGGTTTATAACAAATTGGAATCAGAGCCTAATTTCCTGGCATTGCAGCAAACTGGGAAAACAAAAAAAGATAATCCATGGCAGAGTCGACTAAACTTACTGCCATTTAGTAACATATTGAAGATATGTCCAAGAAAGTGGAACAAGCCTGTAATACCCCAAACCAGATACGAATCTGAGGTGTCACATTAACTTTTCAAATCATTTACCTTTACAAGATAACTGAAAATTCAATTTCACATTTAAAACAAAGCTGAATCATTTACATTAAATATAATCCTATGATTTTACGAAACTGATCAGAGCATATCTTATTCAAATCTTTATTTACATGCCAACTACAATCAATATAACAAAATATATATAATATTCAATTCTTTTCTGATTTGATCTTTGGAAATGAGAAGCTGACCTGACTTGCATATCCTTGCTCCTTTTTCTTCTTGGAACCTACATGTGAAACACTCACACGCTAAGTCGTTGACTTAGTGAGGCATATAAAACGTATAATGGAAACTTAAATACTTAACAATACAAGGATATTTCATACCATCATATCATTCAAAACCATATAATATTTCATATAACAAAATGCATACATACACATATATCATCATTAACATTCTTATCGTTATCAATATTATTATCATTAGTTCCATTTTTTATATAATCTTGTACTTAACATTTATACACATCATATAATACATTTCACACAGTAAAACACATAATATCACATACAATTTAGTTATGTTATCTCTTTTAATATCCCATGGTATGCTTCTAAGAACTACAATATGTGAGTGCATTGAGGTTGTGCACAAATACTGTCACCACAACTCGTATAAAATTGCACTGAGTGCCATATAGAATGTCCCGAAAGACCACATATATATTCCAAAGGACCTCGTAGAATTATCCTGAATGACCACATATATGTCCCGAAGGATCTCGTAGAACCTTCGACTCTTGGCATGTCAATTATACCCCTATCTCTCATATCACATACTATGAGCTTACCATTTTTATCATTTATTGTATCTTAACCCACATAGACAATTAATTATGTAGATCATGTCACATGGCTTATCTCATATGTTCATATAAACACGTAGATCATATCACATGTATAACATCTTGCTCGTATATCTTCACTTAAATCATATAACACATATATCCTAATCACAGAGCTTATATCTTGTTCTCATATGTTCACATATATCCCATAGCACATATAATAACATATAAACTTATGCATGTACTTATGTACACATTTTCATATAGTTCGTAGATTAATGTCATATAGCTTATTATATCGTAGTTCATGTTACACTTTCATATGGTTTTATAGATCTTTTCCATATAACTCATATCACATAGAAATTTTACATGACATATCATAGATTCATTTTAACACATAAATCATCCTCTTATAGCCTATCTTACATGTCATATAATCACTTATGTCAATATCTCTTAACTTATATCATATTCTCATATTATCATATAGATCAATGCTACTGAGCTTAACTCACTTTTTCATTTAATTTTAGAAGTCAATTATACCAGTTCACATTTATCTAATTCATATGACTTATACCATGTTATCATATAAACATTGGAAACATACGCATCGTAAGTCCAATTTCCATATAATCATGAAATCATGAAAGCAAAACATTGGAAACAGACTCGTCACAAGTCCAATTTCCATATAATCATATACCATAGTAATATGCACTCACTTGGCCTCACTAGTTAAAGCAATACTTTGAATTCCCACTTGATCAATCTTATCTCATCGACTCATCTAGTACTTGCTTTCAATCGATATCTACACGATACATATAATCGATATGAATGTATTAATTCGAGTCACTATTAATTAATCATACATAACATAAACTATTCAAAGTATTTAATACACAATTTCTTATGAATAGTAGTAGTACCAAAGGTACAATACCGATACTTCTATACTATGGTATCGATACTATACTTCTGTATCGATACCCACTCTCAATTATGGAATTTCATCTTCAAAATGGTACCGATACTTGCTCACTGGTATCGTTACCCCTAGTATCGATACTACTCCTTCAGTATCGATACTACTCCTTCAGTATCGATACTTCTTAAAGATTCAACCCACTTTTACCTTATGGTATCAATATTTTTCTTACAGTATCGATACCCAGACCCAATTATCACATATATTTATTTTATAGTATCGGTATTGTTCGTCCAATACCGATACCCCTTGCCAGAATTTACTTATTTTACCCGAAAATTTCCAAAACTTACTTATCTTTCACTCTTTTAACTTCTTTCAACTCATAAAACTCAAATATAATTATTAAAGCTAACTTATATCACTATAACACATCATCATCTTCAATATCTCACCATAATTCTTGAAACTAAGAATCTTACTAAATTTTTAACATGTTCTAATTTCATTTCTAACACCTTAGACTTCTTATCTCACCTGAAAACAAATCTAATCCAACTTAAAAAAAATCCCTTTACTAACTCTTTTCAACAATTTCACTTAAAAACCCTTTTTTATAAATTCTCCCATAACTTATCCATCTTTTAGTTTTACTCAACATTAAGCTTTCCTTAAGCTTATGTATCACCTAGAGACCAAATCCAAACAAAAAATTCAAGAAATAATCAACTTATAAAGAATTCACCGTTGGAATGGAACTCACGGCTAAAGGGAGAAGAAGGAACACACTAGTTCCAGATATTTCTTTCCTTCTCACTTATGTATAAATATCTTGAAGAATGAATTTTAAATTCATTTCTTGCTTAAAGATCAATTTGCCCTTACAACTTCCAAACTTTTATATTCCATCCTAAACCAAGATATTCTAATTAAGTCTATAAACTTTTCAATTTTTCAAAAATGAGCACAAAGTTTTAAAAACTTACATTTTAGTCACTAGCCTAGTTTTTGGGATGTTACAAATCTCCCCCTAAGAAAATTGGTTTTCGAATTTTCACTGCACAAAGAGATGAGGAACTTGTCTACACACATCATATTCATATTCCCATGTTGCTTTCACTACTTTAGGATTTCTCACAAAACTTTAACCAATGGACTTGTCTTATTCCTGAGCTGTTTAATTTCATATGCAAACAAATTTTGCATAGGTTCTTCCTCATAGATAATCAGATTAAACTTCTATTTCTTCTTTTCCAAATCTGCGCAGATGTTTTGCTAATTATCAGCTATATTAAGATTATCTTATTTAATCTTCACTCTTTCTTCAACTTCTTTGATCCAATCTATCCGTACTAAAATTTAATATTTCCATTCAAACCAACATATTGATGTCCAATATTTCTTTTACACAAACTTCACTTAAAGCTATCTTGATACATTTCTTAACTTGCTGACATACCACACATTACAAACAAGTCTAATATATAACCTTACATACTTTTCCAAGGAATATTTACCTCGCTAAAATAAAGGATGATGACTTAATTACTTTCTTCATAACATCCCAATTTAATATCCAAAGGAATTTTATACAAAATTCATAAAAACTCTTTCTTATTCCACTAAGAATTGAAAATTTTCCTACTTCAATACCAAACTTATAATCTACACCTCCATATAACCCTTGTCATACTTAATCCTTTAAACTCCATCATTTAATTTACTTATCAATTTATTCCTCCACAAATCAAAATCTCCTTGTAACATAGATCATATCGTTTTCTTTATGCTCCCAAATTATTTTTATATCACTTATACTTGTCTCTGATTACCAATCTTTATCACCCCTTCAAATATCATATCACTACTTACTCAGAACCTTATTCTTTGTCATTTTTTATACTTACATTTTCTCCACTTAATTAATCAAATATTATATTCAAATATTCACCTAATCCATTTATAATACTTCTTCTACTTCAATTTACATAATTTCTAACATAACTTTTAATCCAATTCACCAAGTTCATTTTTAAACTTAACTTCATATCAATTAACCATTCTTAGCACTTTATTTAATCTTCTATTATCAGAACCTACTACTTAAATATCTTTAGGTCTCATCAATTTAATCTTCTAACAGAGGATACAACTAATTCAGACCGAGACCAAAGTTGAAAACCAAAATCTTTGTCTCTCTTTAATGATGTTGAACTCTATGAAGCACCAATTCTCTTAATCATATGAGATTTTTATTCTACAAACCTCTCGTTTTGAGCTCTCTCTAGAGCTTATTGTGATTAATCACTTCTTGAAAAGGGAATAATTTCAAAACCAATAACACTCCTTTAATTCTTCACCTACCTTCGACCTTTATAAATCCATATAATGTCACTCATCATGTAGACAATAACCTCAATTCTGACCACTCAAAGTCATGAGTTAATGGATTCTTTCATCATTCTCAAATTTCTTTGCAACATAACCCAAACATTTACTCTTGTACCCTCCTTATTCGAATTACAATACACTTCTTCTTTTTATCATCTCAAAATTTTCTACTACATCTTTGGCTTCCTTTAGATATAAAAATATTTATTTCCTTGATTACATCACATCTACATGGCCTAGATACACAAATCCACACCATACATAATTAGCTTATCCTGATATTTTCTTCAAATCTTTTTACTCTATTACACTTACCATCAAATAACCTTGTTAGTCAACACCAACTCTTTCAATCTTGAGTGTAAGCTCTCATCAAACCAATCATATAAACCCTTTTCAGTCAGAATTAACTCAACTTGTCAGACCCGCACTCTTACTCATACACGTTGCAATTCCCTTCGTTCAAACTCAAAAATTCTAACTTCATTTGTCTTATAAACTGATCATCGATGTACTCATTCTCAAACTCCTCTTAAAATAATAACCTCATCACTTGATCTTTTAACATTCTCCTAATAACATTTATCCACTATACTTTAGCTTACCTGCTAAACAAAGAAACTTCTTCACTTCAGAGCAATGAAGACCCTCTAACGTTATTCTGACGCATTTCAACTTCCTGTAAATAATCCCTGATATGATAAAGGTACTCCCTGAGGTGTCCGCTATTCATCCTACCTGGCCAAGGCAGGTGAATTACTACCACCATCAGGTTTATCACCTCTTGATTTACTTCGAAATCTCTCATGGTCAAACATCTAATATACATAACAATCATACTCTATTAAAAAGACAACACACTCCTTACACTATCATATCAGAAAATTTCTTTTTGTTCTTACGTACAAATTGTAAAACTAATTTGACTTCGGTTTAAGCATAGAATCGACTAAACCTTATTTATGATACCATTAAACGTAACACCCCAACTCGTATCCAACCTGGATATAAATCTGAGGTGTCACATTAACTTTTTAAATCATTTACTTTTACAAGATAACTGAAAATTCAATTTCACATTTAAAACAAAGCTGAATCATTTACATTAAATATAATCCTATGATTTTACAAAACTGATCAGAGCATATTTGATTCAAATCTTTATTTACATGCCAACTGCAATCAATATAACAAAATATATATACTATTCAATTCATTTCTTATCTGATCTTGGAAAGGAGAAGCTGACCTGACTTGCCTATCCTTACTCCTTTTTCTTCTCGGAACCTACGTGGAAACACTCACACGCTAAGTCATTGACTTAGTGACACTACAAGAAAATATACCTTTAATGACACACGAACGATGACACACGCTAATTTATGACTTGCAAAACATGTGTTTCATAAAAAATGTCATGTTTTTTAAAATCTGAATGATTTATGACTTGCAATAATGTGTGTCATATTTAATAGTCATAATCCAAAAAATGTACAAAAACACGTAGTACACTTTTAATTGTGTGTCATCTTTAGGAGTCGTATTCTAATTTCCCCCCATTATTTTCATCATTTCCCGCTTCTTCCCCCTCGATAATTATCAGTTCACGCTGCTCCTTCCCCTTTTCTCTTTTTCCATTTTCCTTTTCTCCAAAACACCATCTTCTCCAACAAGATCGTTATGTTCTCTAAATCCTATTACCCGTATACCATTTTTCTCCATTTCTTTTACATTTACAGTTTCTTTTCAACCTTTCAATGTTCATGATTTAGAATCAGGATAGCGTAATCAATCTTGTTTCGACTTTTTGACTTCATGGGTATTTCTTCAAAAGTATAATTGAAACTTCAATTCTTGGGGGTTTTGTGATTAGATAATATAATGGGTTTCTCCTAATTTTTTCGCTTTTGTCTTGTTTGTAGGTATTGCCTTCGTGCCAAGCAGATTTTCAGTGAGCTAAATGAGAGACCCTATGTTGTAGAGCTTGATCTCCGAGGTATCTGTGTGGATATTATTCATCTGCTTCTGATTCGTTTATTGTATGTGTGTGTGAGAGAGTAGAAAAAGAGTAATTTTAAATGAAGTGTTGACTTGTTGAGTTTTTGTTTTAGACGATGGAGGTAAAATCCAGTATGTCCTTCTGGATTTGATAGGTCGAAGCACTGTTCCACAAGTGTTTGTGAATGGCAAGCATATTGGAGGCTCTGATGGTTAGCTACTTTGTCTCTATAGTATTTTTTTCTAGATATTAGACATATATATATATTGATTTCATTTTTCTTATTTCTTTCTGACTATTTAGATCTCAGAGCTGCGGTCGATGATGGTACACTGCAAAGGTTTCTAGCTGCAAGTTGATGAATTGTTAGAAAGAAGGAAATACAATCATTCGATTTGATTCGTTAACTATAAAACTGCTCGAGGATTAGAGAATCATATCTAGGTTGTGAGTTTTACTAGTTCACATCAAGATTTCGATGAGTGCTCTGTGATAATGACATGCCCTTTGTGAGGTTATCTTATATTACTTCATCGCTATGGAGGACTCTAGTTTAGATCTTAACTATCACAAGAAAATGATGATTTGTAGTTTAGATTACTTCATTTTGCTTTGTAGTGTAGTGAAGCTATTTTTTAATCGCTTTTTATTGAAATGACAGTAGTGTTGAATAAGAAAATTTGGAGTTAATTGGATTGGGATTTTTTTTGTCTGCTTGTGATTAATGATGATTTGGAGAAAATTCATATCTACTTTCTGTGTTTCTTTTTTATTGATTTTTGGTTTTTCCTTTTGCTTATTTTCATATAGTAAGTAGCGATGGCGAGTCGAGTGAAGGAAGATGAGAAGAATGAGCGAATAATTCGGGGTCTTCTCAAACAACCGGAGAACCATAGATGTATTAACTGCAACAATTTGGTATGGTTTTCTTGTTTATGTTTTGATCTCATGATTGTGGACTTGATAAGTGTGATGTTGTATCCTGGTATAGGTTGATGGAATATAACTCTGGGAATTGTTCATCAAATAATGGTTCAGTTTTAGTTATAGATGTGCTTGCTGATATACATAGACTTTGAATTGATTGCTTATTTGCGACAGTGATGTTGGGGAAATCAATAATGCTTGTGGTCCATTTTTTATGGTATATTATTGATACTCCTATATTTATATCCTTGCATTAATATAAGAATAACCTTTAATTTTTTTAAAAAATGGAAAATAAGTTGGGCTGCTAAGATTATGTCTAGTGAGATAGGATGTATGTGTTTGACTACTTAATCAGTTTTTCACAAACAGAAAACCTGATTAAAGTTTTCATATTTTTGGAATCTTTACTATTAAACCTTTTGAGAAGTTCTATTTGTTCCATAAATATTTGTTTGAATATCCTCTTGAAATTTTGCTTCTGGTGATTTTGCTGTTGAAATATGTTTTTGTAGCATTTTCCTTATGCTAACTGAATGTAATTTTTATTTGTATGCGTAGATTTTGGAGTGCTTATACTTTCTTTGTCATATTGTTGCTATTTGCTAGTTGTCAACTGAACAGGGGCCTCAATATGTTTGCACAAGTTTCTGGACATTTGTTTGCACCACCTGCAGTGGAATACAATAAGTGTTCAATTTGGTTGGCAAGTTGAGTTTTCTTGACATATCGGTTGCTGATTAACTTATATCTAAGAGACTGCATTTGATGATAGTCAGACATCAATAAATTTTCTAAACTGGCTACCGGTTTTAATTGTTTCCAGTCGGGAGTTCACATACAGAGTTAAATCAGTATCTATGGCTAAATTCACTTCTCAAGAGGTTGCCGCTCTTCAATAAGGGGAAATCAGGTAAAGATTAACCTTCTACCTCTCTCTCTTGATAAAGATTTCTTGATAAAGAGCAAAATGAAAAATAGCTTAAGGACAACATTCCTGCAATAAATGATTGTCCCTTTACAATATCATGCAACAAAAGTCCATAACTGATCAAGCTTTATTAATTCACTTCTCAAGAGGTTGCAGTGGGTGTTGTCTCCCAAGTACTTCAATTTCCCGTTTCCTATGACGTTGATAATGATTCACATGGCATTCTCCGGAATCGTTGCATTTTTCCTTGTCCGTGTTTTCAAGGTATAACTGACATGCAACTAACTTACCTAGACACTACAATTGGTGATGTTCTTTATGGTTGAAACCTGGGCAATGTAGGAAGTTTGGAAGGTCTCAATAATAGCTGGTGCAAGAAGGGCAAAGAAAAGTATGGATGTTACTGCAGCAATCAGCCAAGCATTAAAGGAATCTGAGGGAGGTAAGGGAGTCCTGAAGTCTGTAAGGGATCTTAATGATACTTCTGTAAACCGACCTTAAAATCTCCATACTATGAATCTTCTCTTACTTAGAACGTAACAGTCTTGTCTCCCTCCTATTTGTTGGATTAGGACATGGAAATTTCTAATGCTTAATTTTACAATAAACTATGATAATAGTTGTTCGGTTTCTTCATTTTCTTAAAGCATCCACTACCATCACATATTAGATGTGTGTGGGATTATATGAAGAAACTTATAAAAAAAATTGAATATACCCGTTCCGAACTTATATTCATTTTAATTATTTGAATTTGGTAGGTTAAGAAATTCAAAGACAAGGGACACAGTCAACAGCCAACTACAACTGCTGCTCCTGATGGTGAATTCCATCTCCTTTTCAATGACCAAGCTTCTGATCAGAAAAGAGCCTTTCCTAAGCGTTCAGTTGATGGCGCCAGTGATGGATTTGTTACTTCCATTAGGGGCCTCTTCAACAATCAACGGTGCAAAGCCAAACAATTTGTGCTACGAACTATGAGGGGTGAAGAGGAGGGCGACCAGTAGGGACAGTTGGGTGATGGCGATGCATCTGCTGTAAGGTAAAGTCAGTGTTACTTACCTAAACATTAGATGCACTTGGTGGAGAGTCATAGTCTTTGGTTTCAATTCTTCTTTGTGCAGCATAGATAATACAGCTCATGGCTAATCCGACCAGGGAGCAGTAACTAATTTTATGTGAACTAGGACTATTGTTGAATTCATTTAAGGAGATTTGTAACTTTCAGTGTTTGTTTGTTAACTTATAATAATGGTTATATGTTCTTTCTCAATGTCATATTTTCTTTGTTTTCTTTGACTAATCGTTTATTGTAAACTGTTTGTAGTGTGAATATATTGTATACAAATGGATTGCTTATAATATACGATATGATATATATATATTTAGTATTATGAGACATTAAATGTGATTTAGTTTGATTATTTGTCAATCTACAATATATATATATATATATAATTTACGAAATAAAATCACGACACACGAATGTAAGTCATACAAATGTGTGTCATCTTCATTTATGACGGGGGCTTCAATGACGCGCAATGAGTGTCATAAATGAGCGTCATAAATGTGTGTCATAAATGTGTGTCATAAATGTGTGTCATAGATTTATGACACACAATTGCGTGCCATAAATCTGCACCTATAGATGACGCGCAATGCGCGTCATTAAAGGGGTTTTTTCTAGTAGTGTGAGGTATATAAAACGTATAATGGAAACTTAAATACTTAATAATAGAAGGACATTTCATACCATCAAATCATACAAAACCATATAATATTTCATATAACAAAATGCATACATACACATATATCATCATTATCATCATTAACATTCTTATTGTTATCAATATTATTATCATTAATTCATTTTTTTCATATAATCTTGTACTTAACATTTATACACATCATATAATACATTTCACACAGAAAAACACATAACATCACATACATTTTATTTATGTTCTCTCTTTTAATAGCACATGGTACACTTATGAGAACTAAAGATATGTGAGTGCATTGAGGTTGTGCACAAATGCTATCACCACAGCTCGTATAAAATTACACTGAGTGCCATTTAGAATTCCCCGATGGACCACATATATGTCCCGAAGGACCTCATAGAACCCTCGACTCTTGGCATGCCAATTATACCCCCAACTCTCATATCACATACTATGGGCTTACCATTTTTATCATTGATTGTATCTTAATCCACATAGACAATTAATCACATATATCCTGTCACATGGATTATCTCATATGTTCATATAAACACGTAGATCATATCACATGTATAATATATTGTTCATATATCTTCACTTAAATCATATAACAAATAAATTCTAATCACAGAGCTTATATCTTGTTCTCATATGTTCACATGTATCCCATAGCACATATAATAGCATATAAACTTATGCATGTACTCATGTACACATTTTTATATAGTTTGTAGATCAATGTCATATAGCTTATTTTCGCGTAGTTCATGTCACACTTTCATATAGTTTCATAGATCTTTGCCATATAACTCATACCACATAGAAATTTTACACGACTTATATCATAGATTCATTATAACACATAAATCATCCTCTTATAGCTTATCTTACATGTTCATATAATCACTTATGTCAATATCTCCTAGCTTATATCATATTCTCATATTATCATATAGATCAATGCTACTGAGCTTATCTCACTTTTTCATTTAATTTCATAAGTCAATTATACCAGTTCCCATATATCTAATTCATATGACTTATACCTTGTTATCATATATTCACCTAGATCTTTATCACACAATATAACATATAACACATAAACATGTATTCATGTACACAAATAGAAACCATATAAACAATATACCATTATTCATGTAATCATGAAATCAAAACATTGGAAATAGACACATCACAAGTCCAATTTCCATATAATCATATGCCATAGTAATATGCTGTAACACCCCCAACCCGTACTCGACCCGAATACGAATCCAAGGTGTCACATTGACATTTCAAAACATTTACTTGTACAAAATAGTGAAATTTTTAAAACTTTTATTAACATACACAACTATATTTACATAAATTACAATCATATGATTTTACAAAACTGATTAGAGCATATTAGATTCAAACCCTTATTTACATGCCAACTACAATCAGTATTATAAAATACATACTATTCATTTCTTTTCTGATCTGACCTTTAGTAAGGAGAAACTGACATGTCTTGCTCTTCATCGTTCCATAAGCTCATCAAAACCTACGTGTGAAACATTCACACGCTAATTCGTTGACTTAATGAGCCATATAAAACATATAATTTAAACTCTTACTTATAACAATGCATGTACAATTAACACTATCATATCATGCAAAACCATATACATTTCATATAATCCAATATATTCATATACATAACTAATCTTTTCCATCTTTACCTCATTCCATTATCATTTATATCTTTTAGTCATTCTTAATTAGATAATAC